TTGTAAAATAATGAGTCATTGAAAGTCAATGGAATTTTTAATGATCTAATTGTAAAAAATTTTTTTTGAATAACCGTACCTGCAAGCATATGAATTCAATTTATTAAAGCAGTGTCTGCTTAAATTAAAACTTAAAAAATTTGAATTAAGATTAGTTTTATTGTCATTGTGCTTATTGAAGATAATTTAAAATTTATCTTAAAATAAGATTTTCTTTCTACTATATTATATGTATATATATTGTTACTGCATAATGGGAATAATTATACGTTGCGCACTTGGAGAAACTTATAAGATATAATATCCCTAGAAAAGTTGAATATTATTTTTCAAATGAAAGATAAAACAAAAGTCTTTTAGAAACTTTTAAGTCATTTGAGTGAAAAGTTGTTAATTTACCACAAATTTGTTATTAAAATGTAAAAAGGATTTGTGAGTATAAAGAAAATTATTTTCCTCCTTTTTAATTAATGCGAAATGATGAAGATTATTAAAATATATAATTCATGGATTTGTATTTTTCTTTTTCATATTTTGCATTAAAATATGTTTGTTACTATTTTTTCCAAAAAAAAAATTTATACTCTTATTTCATATAGAACGTGTGTTGTGAAATAAAATAGAAGAATTTTTTTTTCCTTTTAATAAGAAAAATGTAATAAAACACTTTTTATAAATTTTTTTAAATTATATATCAAACATTTCTTTACGTAATTCCTTATTTTAATGAATATTTTATTATTTCTATAATGACAAATAGTTCTAAATAAGGTATTGTTTCTTAGCAACGTTTTTGTAGGTCACTTGAAAATTTTTTTTCTCTTATTTATATATATTTTTGCATTGTTTCTACTTCAAAAATAAAGAACAATAGACGGTCTCTTTGTTTCTTTGTTTAATATTGTCCTGTTTTCTTTTTTTTTTTTTTTAATATATAGAGAAGTTTAGAAGAATAATGCGAGTATGTTATATATATGTTTCTAAAAATGGAAAATACAGTAACCCCAAGTGAATATAATTTTATGTAATGAGGACAATGCAAAATGGGAATTCTTGGGGGAAATGTAGGTATGTTCAAGAGGAAAAAAGAATTTGTTTAAAAAATCTTGTGTATATTAATGAACGGAGAAAAAAATGAAATAAAAATGTTAGTTAAGTTTGTGATAAAAATAATAATATACGAAAAAGAAAATTATTTTATAATTTTTTGAATTATTTACATAATTAATTTCAAAATAATTGTTGATTTAAAAAATCGCAATTTATTTATAATGAAATATTTTAATATCATCTAAATTATATTTTATTTTTCATTCTACATTTTTTTTGTTGGTAAAATGTAGGTTGAAGATCAATGGCCTATTTTTATCTCTACAAATGGGGAAAACGAGAAAGGGCATGAAGACACGAAATCGGAGAAAATAATAATATATACCTACTAACGTAAGAACAAAAAGTATTTAAAATTTTACCTATATAATTATTCTTAAAAAAAAATATTATACTTGTTTCTATATAGAAACAATATCAATTTTTAATAAAAAATTATTATTATTTTTTTTAATGTTATTTTATTGTCGTGATATAATATTACGTTCATGGAATTTTATGTCGGTGAAGTTGACAACGTTTATGATCAACAGTTGAAAAAAAAAGATAATTTTCATTTAAAAAATAATAAAATTTGTTGCCTACAAATTATTTTCTTTTAAAAATTATTGATCGAGAAATGTTATAAAAATTTGTTTAGACAAAAAATTATAATAATTTGCATAGAAAAATATTTTTTCTTTTAAATCGTTGATCATAAACGTTGTAAACTTCACCGACATGGAATTTTAGCATATTATAAAAGGTAGATTTATATTATTGATAGCTCGAGTGATTCAAAATGCGATTTAACTGTCAGGTATAAAAGAATAATATGAGTGAAAGTTTAATTGATTCTTCAATGGAAAGCTTTGTTATACATATCAATTTTCAATATGATTTCACTTCCAGATATTACAAAATTAATTATTATTATAATATTCATATACAAGACATGCACGGAAGTCATCGTACAATTTCATATAAAATTGTACTAAGTGGCTTGATTACATCGTCATTTTAATGTTGACAATCTCGAGTACCGGAAATATGCTACAATGTGTAAAATATACATTAACTGCATCAACGTTTGACTCACGGACTATGGACACAATGAAAATTTCTATATTGAGTAATGCCAACTTTTATTGTCTTTTAATATTCATTACACAAAATCTAACCTTGTCAAATTAAATTAAACGAAAAAATCTCACCGTTCTTTCTTTTTTTAAGGACAAAACTTTATTAATTTAAAAATCACTAATTTTTATATATTAACCTATACTTTATTTATTATCTTAATTTTTTAATTATTATTAAAATTTATAAATTTTTGAATCAAAAAGAAAATATTTTTTATATCTAAGGTATTTTTCATTTGTATTTCTCAATTGCATATGTAATTATTAAAGAAATCTTCTTAAATTAAAAGGAACATTTTCATGTAATTTTAAGAAAATTTTAATTTTTAATTTCCAGAAAATTCTCTTAATTTCATTTTGAAAATTTAAAACACAAAAAGAAAAGAATAGAATTAATTTTAAAAAAGTAAAAAAAAAACAACAAAAATATTTACTGAACAAAAAAAATAGTACAAAATCCTTTGATTTATAAAGGAAATATTAATTTCATTTAATTTGATTTTTTTTTAATAAACTTAATAGTAGAATTAATCAACAAAGGATTAAGTTTAATGATTATACCGTGTGACAATGAAAAATTTCTTTTAATCGGACCTATCAGATGTTGTTGGTCTTGAAAAACTCAAAAAAATGGTTTGTATGAAATTGCCCAAACACCTTCAAAATTTCATTTTAGAGAAAAAACCTTAACAGGGCTTTTTACTCCAAAAAAATAGGTGTTATTTGTTATGATTAAAAATTAAAAAAAAGATCGAGAATTGTGATTTTTCACTAATTTTTCAACTTTAATACTCATTTTCGAAGCCAATTTTATTTAAACTATTTTATTCTAATTACAACTTTAAAGGCGATTCCCTTTTCTGCTTTTTTTAAATAATGCAGTAAATCAATTTTTTAATCTAAATATTACTTATTACCGATTATTTTTGTAAAATTTAAAAAAACTAACAGTGGAGGAAAAGAAGTATACATAATTAGAATTACTTTTACCAACATTTCAATATATTGACTTTTCGAAGACGTTTATAAATTTTAACAAGTCAATCATTAACCAAAAAAAGCATATATTGAAATGTTGTTAAAAGTTAATGTTTTAATTTATTAAATATAGTTTCCTAAAACGCAATACATTGTTACATTTTGTTTCCACAAGATCGATTAGCATTATATAATGTTGAAACAAATGAAAATGACATTTATGTTAAATTGTGCTTTCCTTGGTTATTGTGCTTTCCTCTAAAATGAAATTTTGTGAGTGTTTGGTCACTTTAAATACATACCATTTTTTTCAGTTTTTTAAGACCAACAACTTTCTGATAGGTCCAATTAAAAGTGATTTTATTTTTTGAAACGCAGTGTTATTAAAGTTTATCCTCAAAAGGAAGGGAACATGATTTTTGTCTATATAAAAAAATATATCTATACTTATTTTAAGAAGAAAATTCACAAAGAAAAAATATCCGTTTTAGGGGAGTCTACATTTTTTATGCAACTTTTCAACTAAACAAAAACTCCTAATCAAAGACCCAAATGGTAAAATCATTAAAAAAAATGAATCATTTTGATCATTAAAATCATTAAACATTATTAGAAAATTATAATAATAAAATCCTCTACTTCGAAGAAGAATACTTTTATTTAAAGAGAATTTCATAAAAAATATGCCAGTAAGAAGATTCTTCTCTCAATATACAATTTCTTCTAAAGAAAATTCTTAAAAATAAATCTTAATCTTAAATTCTTAAAATATTACTTTAAAATTTTTTAATTTATATTATGTAATTCAAATAAATAGGAAGCTATTTTGCTCACTTTGATGAAATCTTATAATGTAAATAAAATGTTGCAAAAATAAATTATTGATTATAACTATACTGGCTTACATGAGTGTTGCAAACTATTTAAATAATATTGTAAGCATAAAAGTGTTAAGATTTTCGGGGTCATTGGATGTTTAGTTCAGTATGTGTTAAATTTACTTTTTTTACGGTTCAATGCCGTTCAAGCATAACGTGTGACCTTATGTGCAAATAAATTATGTCCAATGCCGTGAAAGGGTTTCACCTATAGGGTGCATAATATTACATGATGATTAGTCTCTGCAATTACGGATATATTATATCAGTAAAAAAAATCACACCGATTATTTACAAAACCTTTGTCACAAAAATTTCAGAAACTCAAATTCATTTTTACGCAAAGATTATAATATTTTTCTATTAAAGAAAAAATATCTCTTCATAAAAAAAAACGTTTGCAAAACATTCTTTTTATATAAAAAATGTTCTTTTTTATATTATGCAAGACATTTATTTTATATGTACACAAAAGAAATTTTTTTTTCAATGGAAATTTTTTTTGTGACAAAAAATAATTTTCTATAAAAGGGAATTTTTTTTTTTTACAAACAAAACATTTTTTCTGTGAGAGAAATATATATTTTTACTATGTGAAGGAATTAATTATTTTTATGTATTAAAAATATTTTTTATTTTAAAGAAAAATCATAAAATAAAATTATTTAATGCAAAAAAGACTGTTTTCTTAACAGAGTCTTTTATACATATAGATAAAATTCTCTTTTGTTTTTTTTTTTTTTTTTTGAAAGAAAATTTTTTTAATTGAACAAATTTTTCTATAAAAAAAAATATTTCATTTCTAAAAAAATTCTTTTCTGGCGTAAAGGCAAAAATATTTATCAAAGGATGTCGCATTCATAAGGAATGTCAATAGCAAAGAGAGTGAGAGAGAGAGAATGCGTCAACTTACCTTTAACAGTGTGAGAATCTTTTGAGACAAGTCGTAATCAAAATTTTGGTATTTACTGTCAGACATATCGTAAATGAAGACTAATCCGTGCCTTTGTGTCTCTGTACTTTCAAGTGCGGCATCAAGTTGATAAACGACACCCTGTGAAATATAATTTTATCGTGGACTATATATAATCATAATAATAAAAAAAAAATTATAATTAGCAAACTAAATGAGCGCGCAACGAAAGAATAATTAAACAAAGAATAATTAGCGATTGCACTATCTAATCTGCGCACCTGTAAGGTAGTCTGATGTGTGGTATTTTGGGGGAGATGTAAATGTGCTGTAAATATAGCTATGGCTGCTCCAGTCGCATCTCTCGAAGGCTAAAGCATACAAGCAAAATAGTAATTTTTTTTTTCTAATAAAAAACTGAGCAAAAATTTTTCGTTTTTATATATATATATATATATATATAGGGTCAGAATTTCTAAAAAGGATCATCAAATATTTTCAAAAAGTATAATTAATTGTTAATATTATGTTTTTCACTACTAATAAGTGATCAAAATAAGTTTCTGAAAATGTTAGATCACTGCGATTCCAGGTGAGATTTTGACTTTTACGGAGTAGGTTAACCGATTGCAATGAAACTTTGGAATTTTGTTATATATATAGTAAGACTAATCTTTAACGTAAATTTCAGCTTAAAAATATTTGTTAGTTTACGAGATTTGCAATAATACCAAAAAAAATTTAAACTGCTATATCTTCCGTTCTAATAATCGGATTGAGGTCTACCTTTTTTTAAAATGTCAAGGAAAATGAGAGGAATAAATCTCTTTCAGAACAATTTTTTTATAATTTTACAACTAAACAAATTATTAAATAATAATTGAAAAAATTTCACGCGACAATCTAAAATTCAATCACTTAAACGCTAAAATTATCTTACCTGTTTTTCCTTTAATGTTCCAAAGGAATCCAATTGTAAATGCAAGTTTAACTTATTTAATTTTAATAATTTACGAGTATAAACAATTGCGATTTCTGCTAGTTGACGCGCAGACGACATTGCGCACGCAGCATTCTCACGTAGCCAATTTAGTCCACGAATCACTTATTAGGGTACATAGAAGACGATAGAATAATAAAAAATTAAAGAATTATTTATTTTTTAATAATAATTAATTATAAATAGTGAACGGTCGGTAATCGCGTTTTCTAACCTATGACGAAAAAAAGTCTGTGGGGAACTTTAAAATTAAAAAAAACTTTCAGTGAGACATTTGTTTATCATAATATAAGGAAGTTTTCTGGAAATTTTCAAATCGATTCACTTCTTAAAATTCCAATTTTATAATAAAACGAAAATAATATTAATATTATCTATTTCAACTTATTTTATTTCAATTCAAAAAGTTAAGTATTAATAAAACGTTTTTTCAAGCGACTGTAAATGATTCGCTCCGCGTGACGTCTCGCTAGCGCGTCGCCGTTTTTTGGAAAAACACTTAAATATTTTCAAAACTTATAAATGAATCAATTTGAAAATTTCCAGAAAACTTTCTTATATTATGATAAACAAATATCTCACTGGAAGTTTTTTTAATTTTAAAGTTCCCCACAGACTTTTTTTCGTCAAAGACGATTTAAGTTTAAAAAATTTAATGAAATACGTGAAAAAATTTTTTTTCAGTTTTTTGCATTTAATATCAACGGTTTTTGTCCTATGAAAAAAAGTCAAAGAAAAAAAAGATGCGCCTTTTTATATCAAACAGGGTAATACATTTTAAATATCAAAATTTCGAATTTCAATTTTTCGAACATTTTGGGTCGTTTGACTGGCTTTAGAGCGTCCAGCCGAGCGCTCGGCGAGTTGTTCCTCCTGGCTCCTCAATTATTATTTAATAATTTTTTTAGTTGTAAAATTATAAAAAATTGTTCTAAAAGAGATATATTCCTCTCATTTTCCTTGACATTTTAAAAAAAGGTAGACCTCAATCCGATTATTAGAACGGAAGATATAGCAGTTTAAATTTTTTTTGGTATTATTGCAAATCTCATAAACTAACAAATATTTTAAGCTGCAATTTACGTTAAAGATTAGTTTTAATATATATAACAAAATTCCAAAGTTTCATTGCAATCGGTTAACCTACTCCGAAAAAGTCAAAATCTCACCTGGAATCGCACATCAAAAAAAAGTTTTGTTAAAGTTAAACAATTGAAATTAAATTTGTCAATTTTAGGTGATTCAGTTGAGAAATTCTGACTCTATATAGAGGAAGAGAGAAAGTGGATGCACTTTAATATTTCCTAAAACTAATATTAATTAAAATTTCCAGTGAACCAAATATTATACGGCTAAATTTTTATATATATATAATTTCCGAATAATTAAATTTGAAACACTAAAAATTGGAAATAATGTGATTTTTAGGAATAATTTATATATGCACCTCACAGAGAGAAAAAAAAGAATGAGGAAATTTTTCTCTTAACGTACCAAAACTGTAAATTTTCCTGTGCGTAGTTCGCTTAAAAGTGGTTCTTGGGTGGGTTGCAAAAGTGCTAAACCTTCTCGTTTCCTGGTAGCTTCATGCTGCTCGTAAAGTGCTAAAGCTCTAGCAACTTCAAATTTTCGAGCAGCTAGGAACTTTACGGCTGTGCTCCATGACACTGGACCTGCTCGTCGACCTGCCCGACACTTGTTAACTGCCTCTATAAATTCCTTTGTTGCCTGGAAAAAGGAAATTACAGTTTTCATTTAATTAAAACCGTTTTTTCTTTTTTCTATATTGCATTTCTCATAAGTGGTTTTTATTCCTGACTTTTTTTTTTAGCAAATAGTAGAAATTAAAAATGTTTCTTTTGTTAAATAAAATAAGTAATTGCGAAAAATAGTAAATAATTAGGTTAGAAAAGGGGTAAGACCAATTTTATTGCTAGCCCCATAGAGGCAAAACTGTATTAGTCTGTTGGATAAGACTTCCGACTTGTGAGAATTAGGTTCGGTGTTCGATTCCCACTGGCTTGATTTTTTTTTCTTAAAGCAAAATATCTCAATATTACATTGTAATATTTCACCAAGAGTATGTGTAATATTAATTAAATATTAAAATATTAAATTATTAATTAAATGTGTAAAAACGAAAATTTCAGAAGACACAGAAATAAATAAAAAAAACATTTAATTTTTAATTTAATAAAGAAAAAGAAAAGAATATAAACATATTTGAAAAAAAATAAAATAAATAAAAATAATTGAAAAAAAAAACATTTAAAAAGAAGTTGATGCAAAACTTTTGTAAGAAGAGATTGTCATCCTGTTATATAGAATTTGGAGACGAAAAAAAAGAACTTTGGAAAGTTTTAATATGGAATTGGGATTAGTGGAACTTTCGAACTTTGAAGCATGAAAACGAGATAAACTTTATCCGATATTTTGAGAAAGAAAAAATTCAATGTGTAAATTGCTTTTTTTTAATATTTCATTTATAGAGATAAATCCAAAACACTGTAAATGACAGCAAAACATAATTGATTCTTCAAAAAAAAAAAAAAAAATAAACTTATTTTTAAAAAAGCGTATAAAAATGTTATTAATATTTAAATTAAAAAAAAATAAACATACAAATAGAAAAATACTATTCAAAAAAAAATTTTTTAATATTGAAAAAATCGTTTAAAAGTTGTAAATTATTTGACAAAATTCAATGGGAAAATAATAATTACAGTTTGATAATTAGTATTTTTTTTCAAGTGACTCAGTTTTCCTGACATTGTTCGTTTGTGAAAGTTTCGAATAATTAACTCACATTGCAGTATCTTAAGCGCAAATTTCGAGCCACTTTCCCCATTTTTTTATTAATTTGTTGTAAATATTTGCACACACAGCACAAAGAATGATCCATTGTAGCAAAAAAAATTAATTAATTCTCAATTATTTAATTAAATAATTATCGTAATTATGCTCAACACGTTTTTTCGATTGTCAAATTATATATTTAAAAAACTGTCAGAAATTTGATTCGTTTAACAATATACAGTGCTCCAATATTTTTTTTAAATTACATACATTAATTTTTACATTTTACATATTTTATTATGTAAAAATTTTTTAATTAAAAACTACTTAAACGTACGTTCGAAAAATTTAATTTTTCATAAAATTTATAAATATGTAACATCTCCTTCTTTTTTTTTAAAAAAAAATTACTTTGTAATCAATACATCCATACGGTAATATTAATTAATTAACTAAATTAAAAAATACTGTTTCAAAATTATAATTTTCAAAATTTTTAGTACATGTTATTTTTTTGCGATTTAATGCACTCACGCCCGACACACGTTTCCTTTTACACTTTCGAATCGACTTTCCGATCGACAATACAGAACGAAGAAGATGTTTTAATGGCACATGCCACGGATGCCGATATTGCTTCCGGTCTACCGGTTCTTCCCTCTCTCTTTTGCTTCCGGTCAGGGGCGGCTCATTTATATAAAACGACCGTGTCTTGAATATATGTGTGTCAATTTGGCGGCTAAATTCAAAGCAAGGATTATCATAATTATTTCTGTTTAGACAATAAAATATGAATCATATACCTAACACACACACACACATATATATATATATATATGACCGCACCGCAATCATGATATAGAGAGGATGATGCCATCATTCAATCATTGCTAACTTGAATCTTTCGATATGAATAATCCGTTCTCCCCCTACTTCTATATATAACAAAGAAAAAGTTTATACATCCATCTATTGCAAAAAAAAATAGTGATGCAATGAATTTGCCAATAAATCTTACTTTTTCTTTTATTCACTTTTATATATAGCGTTAATTGAACTAATTCAATTAGATTAAAAATTAGTAAATTTTTACTAATAATAAGTTATTTTTTCTACTAAACGCTGAAGCAGAAAGTCAGCCAAGATTTTATTAACAATTAGTTTTTTTAACTAATTCAAATTTACACGGAAAAATTTTTAATTATAAGGGGTTGAGCCAACAAACAAATTTTGTTGGTATTTAAGCAACCAAACTATTTGTTTGAGTCAATCAAAAAATTTGGTTGAGTGTTCTTTGTTGGCATAGCAAAAATGTTTGGTTAGCTCAACCAAATTTTTTTTGTTAGGTCTGTTTTAAAACATTAGAAATTGTTGGAAATAATCTGTATCAAAATGGAATGTTATAGAAATATACTGAAAAAAGATTTATTTGATTCAAATAATCGGTTACTATTGATCATTATCAAATAAATATTTATTTGTATCAAATATTTATTATTTGAGTCAATTAAATGTTATTTGTTTTAAGTATAGAAATTATTGGCTGAAATGCAGTTTATTTAATTCAAATAAAATTTATTTGGTTCAAGTAAATATTTAATTGATAATACTCTCTAAATTTGAAAAAGCTATAAGTATGCAGCTGCGAATCAGCGACTAACAACTATTTCAATCAGCGGAATACTCCATTTTAAAATAAATTTATCTTCCGACGAAAATGACCGACGTTCGCCGATTCGTGTTTCGCTATTTTATTAGCTGTAACCGCTTATTTGCAGTGAAAACTTTATTCGCTGATTCAAACAGTGAAATTTTAGCTAATTCAAATTTAGAGAGTAGTCAAGTAACCGATTATATGAATCAAATAATTTTTTTTTCAGTGTAGAACTGATGAAATACAGTTGAACTTTAGGGAACGTTCACATATGACGTCACGCTAATTTTCAGCTTTTTTGACCCCTACCCCCCCTTTGTCATGCTCTGTCACGATTTGACAAGACCGCCTTGATAATGGACGTCACGTTCTTTAAACACCCCCCCCCTTTTTTTTTTGTTTTTTTTAAATCTTAAAAATTTTCTAAGGCATTAAAATTGTTTTTAAAGAAATAATAAATGTTAAGACTACTTAAATGTAATAAAAAGGGTTTCTGATAAAAATAATTTATTTTTTCTTGCAATTATATACTTATAAATATTTTTTGCTTAAACAGAGTTATTAAACTTAAAGATGAGTTAAGTTAAAAGTTTTGAACGTTCATATGAACGAAATTTGTTTTGATACTTCTTTAAGTACGAATTTTATTACAAAATATTGTTTAAAATATCTAAAAAGAAGTTATTAATTTAATAATTGTTTAATTAACTGTTTTATTTCACATGGTCATCATAATTTTTAATAATTTATAGATTGAAAAAAATATTTCGTTCATATGAACGTTCAGAACTTTCGGCTCATAACTTAAAGTTTAATAACTCATTTTTTCAACAATGAAAATTAATTTCATTATTAAAAATAATACTTGATTTTTAATTATTAATAATCACAGCAGTTCATTTTTAATCTTTTCTCAGCAATTTTTTAAAACTAGCAGCTGATTATTGCAGCAAAGATATATGTATAAAGCAGTATAAAGATGGTATAAAGCAGTACTAATATGATGATATAATACGCATGACACATCACAGGGCCTTGATATTCGATTCGCGGGAAAAGGTATCAAATTCAAAATTCTACTATAACAGTAGTAAACATACTTCGTGACATCACGAAGGAACTGAGCCCCCCCGTACGCCATGTCACGTTTTGTCATGTTTGACCAAGACCCCCCCTACCCCCTAATGTGTGACGTCATATGTGAACGTTCCCTTAGATAAAGTTGTTGCTTAGGACAGAAAAGACTGTCTTTTTGTGCGGTCAACATGGGTCAATCTCTGTTGACACGCTATGCATACAGGATGAATTTACTACATGTGACCGATAATAGGACATGGGAAACTAGGATATTGTTGAAAAGATCGTAAGGATATCAAAGTTTTTGTGATAAATAAAAACCGCGTATTCTCTCGTGGTTAGAATTTTAATATACATATATTTCATTCTATTTTGGCAAAATAATTGTTTTAAAAATCATTGAAAATAAGAATATGTGAAATTTTACTGCGAATATCGAATGTATCATTTTAAAGTTATAAAAATAAAGGAAAAAATATACTAAAAAAACGATGAAAATGTACAAATTGCAAAATTTTTCTTCAAAAATTAATTACCGTAAAATGGGGTAAAGTCGGCGTTTGGGGGTAAAGTCGGCCGGCGCTTTAAATCATTTTAAAGTTTAACTATTACTTTTTTCCAGAAGAAATCCGAGTTTTATTAAAAATGTAGTTAGAATTAATGTAAATTAATAAATGAAATACAATATTTAAGTGTTAAAAGCGCCGGCCGACTTTACCCGCAAACGCCGACTTTACCCCATTTTACGGTAATTATAAAAAAAATAAAATAAACTTTTTATACAATTTTTAAACAGTATTTAAATTATTTGAATTAATTATTTAATTTAATTATTTTAAATCATTATTATTATTTCAATTGGTAAGTTCAGAATTACGGTAACTCTGTTTTTTCCAAAATAATTCATTTTTTATTAACATTAATTATACCTAATTAATTAATTTAATTAATATCTCGAAAACAAAAAACGACATTTTTTTTAATTTGTTTATTAAAAGCACACATTTTAAGCTTCATTTTAAGGGGTAAAAAAAAGAAATAACAACAATATATGTACAGGGACAGCCCTGGAAAAGTAATCGGGAGGTATGACGTAGGCACCCGTCAAAGTAAAGGATGAGAGAAGGGGAAATTTTAGGCAGATCCGTCATTGTGGAAGATTAACTGTAGGTTAAAATTTTTTTTCACCCTGTTACACAAT